TGAAGCAGATGGAAGCTAGATTATGGATCTCCTTTCTCTTCTATTGATCTTCTTTTCCTTCCTTCTCTTCTACAACTCCCAAGCTATCACAAAACACTCAAGCTCAACAAGAGGGACTAGGGTTTTATAGAGAAATGCTCTAAAGGTGTTGGAGGCTGGGGTGGGAGGCCATAATGATGTTTAAATATGGTAAAAACCATGGGATTTAGGGTTTCATCCAAACTAGCGGACTCGCCGAGTTCGGGATACAGACTCGTCGAGTCGCCTACTAAAGACGTGTGAAATTCCCATCTCTACTCGACGAGTTGGGCTACTGACTCGTTGAGTACCTCTTAAGAAACGAAAATACTTTATTTAAATTACATACCAGAAATAAGGCGTTACAATTTCCATATCATATCGATGTAGGGCTTCGAGGAGTCAAAGGCTTGGTCTTTGGGTAAAACAAAGGCTCACGGCGTGATCATAGACTGGTCACGATGTAAGTAGCGATTAAATGAAATATTAATTGTACTTAGCTTACGATGTGAGCATTAGGGGATCACGACGTGAGAAGCGTTGCACCCCAAGCCCATGATCTTTTAGGGTTTCCTTTGTTTTCAAATCCCATAAACTTCATTTCAGGGTTTCAAAACAGCCTCCTTCGTCCCCAAGCTCAGTAAAACCCTAACCCTAGGCTCTACTTGTGATTCTTGAAATTTTTGTGGGCCTTTGGTGGCTTGAAGAAGAAGATATCACGACTGGAGTATAGATTGAGCTTGAAAGTTCCATTTTCAACCTCTAGCAACACCTCTGGACCATTATGAGTAGCCCAATATCCAAGCTTTATGTTTCCTTGTTGTTAGATCTAAGGTTTTATGCATATTCATCCATGAATTTAAGAGTTAGAGTGTTGAGACTCAATAAAGTTGGGAACTTTATGGGTCCTTAGGGTCCCTTGGTGCTTGTATGATTTAGATCTGAGTTTTGGGGGATGTTTGAGTTCATGCATAAGAATTTATCTCCTTTTCCTTCATAAATGACCTAGTTTGAGCTCAAGTCTTGTATTGGACATACAAGACCTTAAAGCATCAATTTTTATGATCCTAGTAGTGTTAGGAAGCCTCCTGGAAAAGATGGATTAGTGACTTAATGGATTAAGAAGTTTTTGGATCAAAATGGCATTCAGATTAATCTTATGACGTAAGGATATGCCTGTCACATCATGAGCATTTTAAGTCCCGATTATTTTGTCCTGTAGTGGCTCGACGTGAGCCATAAATGGTCACGTCGTGAGGTTCTGTTGACCATTGACTTCTTGACCAAATTTGAATTTGGGTTAAACTTGAGGATTTTGGACTATTGTTTGAGATTCTATCTGGTTTTGGTGTTAGTGGATTCGTGGGTGCACGCATTGCTGAAATGGGATCATATCGCAGTGTTTCATAGTTCTTTGATTCAGGTGAGTTTTGCCTCATTGTACAGTGGGTCGATGACACCAATGTTGTCCCACTTGTTTTTGTTATTGTATAGTAGAGGGATGTCATAGGGACTGTATGTAGTTATTGAGGATAGGCTGAGAATTCTTTATTTAAGCTTTCTTGCATGTTCCTTGTTTGGTTGTGGCTTTAAAGTAGGATCATCTGTTTGGGTGGCTATCCCACCTCTGGTTACTTATGGTTATGCATTTCATGGAGGTTAATTGGTAGCGGGACATTGTGTTGTGTGAGGACTAGTAGGCAACAGTGAGCTGTATGACTATTCTTTTCCTGTATTATGTGCATACTTGATCTTTGTTTGTTTATATGTCGATATATGGTAGTAGTGGGTTGAGGTGGTCCTGCTTTATGTTTTAGGCCAAGATACTCGGTGCAGGCCGAATGTAAGCCGTATGCACGAAGGCTCAAGAAGAGTCGTTGGGTTGAGGTGGTAGGCCAACAAACCCTGGGTATTTCAGCCTGATGACTGATTGGGCCTGGGTATTCCAACCGGGAGCTTGTGGGTTGTTATGCATGCTTGTATGTTTATCATATGGGGCATTTTGGGGGAAACTCACTAGGCTTTATGCGTATCTAGTTGTTTATTGTTCCAGGTATCATTTGTGATTATGGGAAGGCGAAGACGAGACTGTACACACTCATCATCAAGATTGAGGATTTTACGTTCATTATAATACTTTGATTTTAATAATTGTAATTGGAAATAAATGGTTTTCTTAAAATGGTTCCATAATTGTGAAAATTGGACATTACAGACTAAACTTTACCTCCTTAAGTCCCAGAGGCTTTACAAAATCGACTTCCGACTCACAACCATGAAATAATAAATGATAGGAATCAATATGTTACATATTGACTTGGTTTTATGATAGTTGAGATTTTTATATAATTAAAAATGAAAATTTTTGTGGTAAAAATCAGGATGTTACAAGAATCATGAGTTGCATGAGATATCCAGGTCGATGGTGAAAATGGAAACATGATGCCTTAAACGTCGTCCCTATTTTAGGACAACATGACACCAGGGGTGTATCTAGTATGGCCCAAGGTAGGTCCTAGGACATATCTAAATTTTCAATTTCATTTACAATATATATAGTAGAAAAATTACTTACCACCATAGAAAAAATAAAGGACGTACCTTGAGTTTGTTTTTTAAAAAAATGTCTTAAAAATCATTTTAAAATAATAATTAGGATCAATTTGTTATTTTAAATTATGGAATTGATAACAAAAAATTAACCACTCTTAATCGATACTCTCAAAATATCAATCAATAAATAAATTGTTGTAATAAAAAGAAGCCCACATGCTAAAGACTATTAGGTCCTATTTGATAGTTTCTGTCTGGGAAAGTGTTGTCTGGTAAAGTTCTATCTGGGAAAGTTTTCTGACTGGGAAAGAAATCATGTTGTTTGATTGTACATCTGATTGACTGTGCTGAATGATGAAAAATGACTGGTTTATGTCCGATAGTGGTGTGATGGATGGAATTTTTTAAAATAAATTAGGATGGTGGTGGTGTTTTCCAAAAAAGAATTAATCCAATAAAAATGAATTAAAAAATATTAACTAAAAGAAATTAATAGTCCAATAAAGTAACATGTATTAATATATAAATATTATATAACATAAATAATATTTTTGAATATATAATAATCCAATAAAAATAATTAATCCATAAAAAGGAAATTAAAAAAAAAGAATTATTTAAGAGTACTTAAGAATCCAATAAAATAATATTTATTAATGCATAAATATTATATATTAGAATAATATTTATTAATATAAAATAATGCATTAAAAACATAACAAATCAATATTTTTTTAAAATTTATTTAAAAAAATAATAATAATCTAAGAAAGAAAGAATGAGATGTGGTTTGGGGCATAATTGTTTTTCCATTCAGCCATTCAGCCAGAAAGAAAGAAATATATGATTTTGGGGCTTTCTGAGAAAGACATATTTTACCGGGAAAAACCCTATTTTTTGTGCAAATCAAACAGTTTTTCCAGTCCATTTAGCCAGAAAGATCTGTTTGGACCTGGAAAGATGCATATCAAACGGGGCCTTACTCTCCGTTCACCGCTTTATCAATGAACCAATAATTAACTAGTTTTTCATTAAAAACATACTGCTTTTTTCATTTATATTTCAATCGTGTTGTTAAAATTTTTAATCGGTGTTAACAAGTTGAACTGATTCGTCCGGTTTTTTAGTTTTTTAAGGTACACGACCAGACCTGTCCCCAGACAAGTGTTGTTGAATTTTTTTTTATTGGCTTTACTTAATTTGGAAAACATGTGATTTTTTTGGTCTAGATTCTCCACTTTATGACACCAAGAACCCACTGTATTGGTCACCGGGAACATAATTAGGTAAATGAGCAAGAGCAGTCAAGATGGTATTAAGAGTAAATGTCAACAAAAACGAGCTTTAAATAAGGGATCTAGTAGTAGTGAGTGGCGTTGATGAAAACTTTACCAGAGTGATATTTGAAAAAAGAATAACCGGTAGCCGAAAACCGGACTAGGACGAAGAATCTATCCTAATAAATGAAGATCATTTTGCCAAATGTCATCTTCTCATTAAATTTGACACATGTAATTTTGTAAATTTTCTGATTAAATTTAATCCACATGTCATTTTGTGGTTTTTTGAATTTAATCCATTAATATGTCACATAATACTAAATATATATATGCAAAGTATTAAATATATTTAATTTGATAATAAATGCAAAGAATCTTAAAAAATACATAAGATATATTAAAATATATTGAATATTATAATAAATTTAATGAATATGATAAAACAATCATTGATATTATAATAATCTTCTCAATAGTGATTTTATTTATTATTTGATTATGATTTTTTATTTTGAAATTTTATTTTAAAAAATTATTAATATTTAAACTTTGATATATTTTTTTTAATCAACTCGTATAATAAACGAGTTTCACGAAAATAAATGAAACAAACCTTTTGATGGGGTGGACAGGACGAAGGATTTAGATTAAAAAGTTTTTTTTTTTAATCTTTTTTTTATTTTTTATATTAAAATCAAATTTTCCCTTTTACGAATGACCAAAATTACGGTTACCTTTATTTTTGATTTGTTATCATTGATTATCTTATTTATATATTATTTTATAGAATATCAATTTCAAAACGACACTCTCTTTCTCTTTTTTTTCTTTCTCTCTCCTTATCTTCTCTTGAAATTCCCCAATCCATGACAACCAAAGGAAAACCTCTCTCTCTCTGATGCTAATTGTGTCGCCATTTTCGAAGAGTAGAGATTAAATGGGGAGATTGAATCTCAGAAAATCTAATCTCAATTTTGTCACCAACACCTGGGTGTTGATTCGAATCACTTCTTGTTTTTCTTGATTTCTCATTCTCCTTTTGGACAGCAAATTCTTGAGGGTTTTTTGATTCCACTAACACTTTGTAATCTGTCAATCTCTTTCTTCATTTTGTTTTTCTCTTAATTCTGTTAGGAGATTTTAGTTTCCATGTTAGTGATGCTGAGGAACAGATCCAGAGCTGTAACAAAACAATCACCGATCATGGCGGATCACCAACCTTCGTCTCTTTCACCCCCTACTCCACAGAACCCGACCCGATCTATTTCATCTTTTCTTGGTTCTCCAAGGTTCTTCAATGGTGCATTCTTGCCTAAAAATCTTTCACCGACCTCCATTCTTGACACCAACAAACAGTTAATCAATTTTCCCGGCAACCCATTTGGGTTCAGTAAAAACCCAGAAAAAGCCACAAAGGTCGTTGAAAAAAAACACCCATCTGAGAAAGTTGGTTCTGAAGGAATTGCTCTTGCTCTTGTTCTCATTCAAGAAAACTCTAATGACAATATTTGTAAACCTAGTACCACTAGCCGAAAAGTTCTGCTTGGATCAAAGTTAAAAATTAAAATCCCAGAACCATTTCCAAACGGGTCACCCGAATCGCCCGGTGATTTTGGGATCAAGACCCGAAATTCTCAGTTTTCAGCCGGTCCGACTCCAACTGGATTCGGATCGCCGAGATTTTTTACAGGTCCTTTGTCTTTGAGTGAGATGGAGCTCTCAGAGGAGTATACTCGAGTGATCTCACATGGGCCTAACCCGAAAACGACCCATATTTATGATAATTGTGTTGTGGAGAGCTGCTGCGGTATTCGGGTCGGATCAGAAGTGCCATTGGAGAGTTTTGTAAGCTTCTGTAACACCTGCAAGAAAAATCTTGAAGAAGGCAGTGACATTTTCATGTACAGGTTAATACTGCCAATCTTGAATTCTACCTGTAATTAACTTTTGAGATATCTTTATTTTGATTCATAGCAATCAGTTGTGATTATTCCAAATTTAGTTGGTGTTTGGATTTGGGTTTCGATAGTGAACATGATTGATACGATAATCAGACTATAAAGTCAAATAATAAAGGCGATAATAATCTTTATGGGGTCAATTGCATAGTTAAATTGTTATTATGATTTATGCTCTTGTATTTTATTCTTAGTATCTAATTTTTATTGTTCGATATCATGTAGTGACTTTTTAAATGAAATTCTAATACATTTTTATGTAATTCTTTTTTTCAAGAATATGTTTTTCTAAAGAGTTATTGGTGAATCTCGATCATGGGTACTGAAGTATGTGAATTATTGTGTGTGTTAAACAGGGGTGAGAAAGCTTTTTGCAGTGAAGAATGCAGATGCCAAGAAATGGTTTTGGACGGATTAATGAACTCATAGCAGTTATGTCAAATTACCATTATGGTGTCCCCAAATTCCATTCTTCACTTCTTCACAACTTTGACCGTGATGAGAGAGAGAGGGGTATTGCGGTCCAATGTTAAATAAACGTATGGGTTTTTGTTTGTTTGTAAGATGTGTTTAGAAGTAGGTGGTGAAATTTTGGTTTTTCTTTTGTTGTTTTTATTTTAAAATTGTTATTTTTTTCTTTTTACCAATTTTAGTATCCTCTTCTCTTTAGGGAGATAAGAGATAATTTTATATAATGTAGAAAAAAAAATTTAAATAAATCAAAGAGATGTCCAAATGATGTTTATAGCTTTTATATGGCTTTCCTTGAAATCATATGTCTGTTTTTTTTTTTTTTTTTTCTGCATCGTCATCATTTTCCTTAATTTCTTTTTCCTCACCTAAATCCAATAAATAGGTGGAGGCTTTTCTCATTATTTGTTTTTTATTTTTTTAAATAAAATTAATTTATTTTTATGATTTATAATTTTTAAACTAATAATAAACATAAAATTTAATTAAAAAGAAAATACATTTCATTAATTAAAATAAAAATTACAATAAACCTAAGATTTTAAAAAGTAGAATATTAAAAAAAACACAAACAAAAAATCAAAAAAACCAACAACTTATGAAAAATATTTTTTTATAATTTTTTCCTTCTTCTTCATCACGAGCTCAAAAGCCGGTTTCGAGAGATCGTCGATGTTCCGTCAGAACTTCGTATCCTCCATTTCTTGTCTCTCTGCGCGCTCATTCTTCTTTTTCTTTGTCGAACGTCAAACATTCAGCGAAATTAAAATCATATCGATCAAACGGTACTGTTATTTTTCGTATTCGTCAACGTCCATATTGAAATAAGATGCACCCGAAGAAGTCTATTTTCCCTTCCTCTTTGCTTTGTCCCTACCCATCGGTCGGACAATTTCTTATAGCTCGAGTTCGTCCTCCTCATTTAAATCTAGACCGACCCGAGCATCGTAGGAAGTTGTGTAACCACTAGAGCCCGTTTTTGTTCACTTTGAATGTTGTGCTCCAAAAATAAACTTTTGCTCGTATTTTTTCCATCTAGGACTTTTAACCAATATTTTCCAACAATCATGCCACTTGAATGGTTTTCAGACTTCCTCAAGCTAGAATTGCAAAGCTTCTTGAAGTATTTCTTCATCGCCTTAACCATCTTCATCGCCTTAACCACTTCTTCGTTGAGTTTTTAGGTTGTTGTACAACCCGTTTATTTTTGAAACCCCTTACTATTTCTCGAAACTTCGAATTCATTCGGTGTTTCGTACGGTAGTCGCCACCTTTTCCTAGCTTCTCCCGAAAACTGGTCTAAAATGCGAAGCAAAAAATGATCTCCCGGTTGTGCATTTTCCATATTCGAATCCTAAAAAATGTCAACACAAGCTTCTACCAAAACTAACTCTTATTATGGAAGTCATGGTATCGGCCTTTGTCTTGCTGGTTGTGCGACAACCTCGTACGCTTGTTGTTTTCCTTTGCGTCGTTGTAGGGGTGGTGTGGGTTGAGTTTCGCGAACCATCTCTTCTTCCAAGTCACCCAACTCATCGACAAGTTGAAATTGTTGTTGGGTTTGGGTTTGGGTTTGGGTATGAGTTTAAGGTTGATTTAGTGAATGTTGATCGGGAAAAACAACAAAGTTTGAAAACGTTTCTGGAGTGACATCTGAAACTTGGACCGGTTAATATTGTTTAACATTTTGGTATTGAAATTATAGCGAAGATTGAATGAGAGCATCTAGTTAGGGACGATAAACTCCTTGTGATGATGAATCGATAGCAAAAATGTTTCGAGTCGGTGCTTGAACTCGAAACATGAGTTTTTTTTTTCTCCTTCTATCGGAGGTTGGGGTTTGATTGTTGGGATTCTTTTTTTTTCTTAACAAAATAGAGAAAAATTGATTAAAGGTAAATGGTATGCGTATTTATAGATGTTGTAGAGGCTAAAAAAAATTACAATTTCAATGATATAGCCGTTGGAAATAAAAAAAGAAAAAGAAAAAAAAATACATTTTACCGTTTTTTAACAATCGTATTAAAACAATAATAATAATAAATAAATCTTCCTATCCAACCACCGGTGGAGCGAGAACGCGAAAACCCTTCGCCTCGGCTTCTTCCCGTGCAGCGCTACCCGCATCCACGACGTGGTGTTCATCGGAACGGGAAACACCCCGCGCCTCCTTCCCGCACCAGCTCCGTCCGGCCTTATACATTTGGTTTTACTTAGGTGCTGTTTGTTTTTTTGAAGCAAAAATCCATAAAGTTTGCGGACAACCTCTGCAACCCTTTGCAGTAGAAGATGTGGACCAAACGGCTGTAGACTATAATAAAAAGCGTGTGTGTTTTTTTAACATCTGCATGTTGCTGCAGATATTAAAAAATTAAAATAAACTTATTTTATAATTTAAAAATAGTTTTTAATGCCCAAAATTTAATAATGTATAACATTCCGATAAAAATTTATGATATTGCAGCAAAAATAATGATATTTTCACAAAAAAAATAATGATATTTTAGCATAAAATAATGAACTTTTATATATATATATATATATATATATATATATATATATATATATATTTATTATTTATATTCACTATTTACATGTGAATGACAATCATATAGACTAAAAAACTGATTGATATTGTAAGGTATCGTTGTTTTTTCGAAGTGAAAATGAATGAAAAATGTGGACCACCTTTGCAACCCTCTGTAGCGAAAGAGGAGACCAAACGGCTGTAACATGAAATAAAAAGTCTGTTTGTTTTTTAACTTTTGCAGATTGCTGCAATAAGTTAGGTGCTGTTTGTTTTTTCTGAGGCAAAATGTCTGCAGTCTGCGGACCGCATCTGTAGACCTCTGCAGTAGAAGAGGTGGACCAAACGTCTGCAGTCTGAAAAAAGAAGACTGTTTGTTTTTTTAACATCTGCGGGCTATTAAAATAAACTGAAATCTAAATAAACTGATTTTTTAAAACTTCAAAGCGAATTTTTTATATATTTTTACGACTTTATTATAAATATATAACGAATCTAGATCAACTTTTATGTATTATTATATAAAAAATAAAAATAAAAATGGTATTAATTCATATACATATTTGATAAAAACCAACAACTTTGATTGCAAAGTTATAACTAAACATTATAATTAGTGATCAAAGAATTTGATACATAAATAGATGGAAATAAACTTTAATTTTTTCAAATAAATCTATTAAAAACGTACGATAAATATTTTCTCGAGAAATTGATGATACTCTATTAAATAAAGTTTTACAAAATTTTGGCAAAAAAATATAAGAATATATTATGATTTTTTTTTTCATATTTATATAAACAACTTCAACGACTATTATTATAATAAATTTTTATTTATAAATTTGTTAAAAATATCATGTTTGTATCGTCAAATGTTTTTTTTTAAGTTTTGTAATTTTTTTTTTCATATTGTTTATCATTAATAAAGTTGGAAAAAATATAAATTAAAAAAAAAACTTAAAAAAATAAAGATATATATGTTTTTTTAAGCTAGAAGATGTCTGAAGATGTTAGAAGACTCTGGTCCACATCTGCGCCAAGAAGAGGGCGCGCAGACATTTTTAGGTCTGCAGTCTTCAAAAAAACAAACAGTCTGCGAAGACTAATGTCTGCGCGTGGTCTGCGCGGCGCAGACAGAAGACGTCTCGCAGATCTGCAGACAAAAAACAAACACTACCTTAAAGTAAGTTGTGAAGATGTTTGAAGCAGATGGTCAAGTGTTGTGTCACACAGCACATGCCCATCAGTTTTTAAGTCAGAAGTATTATGAAAAACAAACAAATAGGAATGGCTAAGTGTTGCGCGATGTAACAAGTAAGTGGTTAGAAGTGACTTTTTAGAAGAAAAAAAAAAACAAACAACACTTAAGATTCTTATACTTGATTGTCATTACATTAAATATTAACTATCAAAAAGTTATATATTAACATGTAATTACCTAAAAATCAATCGATGAAGAAAAGTAGTACAATAACATTTCTCTCCTGGTCTCCTCATATAACTCATGTTGTGTTACCTTGTATATTTATCATTTGTGTGAATACTGATAATATATATTACTAAGATCATGTAACCATTAAAAAGGTATGTGTGTACAAATATTCTTTTGAAAGGTAAAAAAGGGTTAATATATAAAATATGGTTTGAAAAGAATATAAAAATAACGTAACTGATTGTTCTATTTGTATATCTATTCAATATATAGCTATAAAATGATGTTGATAAAATTAGTTACGATATGTAAAATAAGACAAAAATGCATATACAAAATTGAGTTTTTTTTTTTTTTTTTTAAATAAGTAATAAGTGATATATTTTAAAAAAAACTTGATAAACTTATTAAAAAGCTAGTATGAGTAGTTTTTAAAAAAGTTAACCTATAAGCTATTTTTTAGTTACTTGTAAACTAGCCAAACATAACCTTAATAATCAACTTTGATATAGTTATAATGAAAATGATTATGCAAATTTCACTATTTAATCCACAACAAATAGCTGAAATAAAAATAATGTATAACCAAAATTTGATAACTAAGTTATTATTTCAAGCTGCAACACAATCATCAATTGAATTATTAGTTCCCACTTCCCATATGCAATATGCAGATACGTACACCTTCCAAGTCCACAACACTTCGGACCGCCACCACAATTATATACTATATTTTTTAATAACTGATTAAAAGGCAATAAAATATAATAAAATAATAGATGAGGTGTTAGAGTCACGAAAATTATTTGATTACAATGTTGGTTGGGTTAAGGAATCATATCATTATACGATTTGGTGTCCAATAATTCACATTCCAATCAACAATCATACATTTTGAATACTATTTAGAATTAAATATATTAATAAGAAAGTTTACAAGAAAGTAAGGGAAACTAGATTTAGCTTAAATGCTTAATTGCAACAAGAGTGAAGTCC